TAGTATATTATTAATAAATTAATATATTTAAATATTTTAATATTACATAATATTTTGTAATTTCTAACTTATTAAAAAATTACTTTAATAGTATATTAATAATTTATGATATAAATAAATATTATTATATTTATGAATATATTATTATTACACTAACATTTGTTAGTAATAAATTATTTTACATCATAATATATCATATTATTTATTATATAATATTATATTATTTATCATAGAATATATTGGTATTTTTATATATTATATTACATTTACTATATAATATAATGGGTAGTAATAATGTATGTTGTATATTATGTGTCTATGTTATTTGGGTGTTTGTATAAATAATGTTACTATATATAAATTTTTATGTGAGTATACTACATATTATTTATTAAATATTAATATATTTTATTTATTATCATATTATATAGTATATTATTATATCATTATTACATTATTATTTATTCTCAATAATTTTTTATTATTTTTATTAATTTATTTATATTTTATTATTATTTATTATTAAATTATTTTAACTATATTGTTATGTAATACATTATCAACATATTAAATATTAGTATTTAATATGTTATATATTATTGTATTAGATATTTTAATTATTAATATATTTTATGTTATTTAATAAATATTGCTAATATATGAGATTAACTATAATATAGTATAATATAATATAGTAAGCATGTTAATAATAACTATATATTAATTATATCTAATATATTATGTTAGATATTATATTAACCACTCTTCAAACTCAAAACGAAGATCTTAAATTTAAAACATTTAAAAGTGTATTAAAATAAGAGGATTGCTTCGGTACACCGAAATTAGACATTTTTATAATTTAAAAAATAGTAGAAAATTCGAAAACATGCAGAAAAATAAAATGGGCAGTTTTGTTCTTAGTGTTTAGATTAGATCATTCCTATTATTTCTCTTTCTAAATCATTATTCAACATCGGTTTGAGTTCTCAACGCAGAAGAGGAGAAATCCTCCCTTCTCGTACTCACTATTTTGATTAGAAAATAACATGAAATTTTAATAAAGAAAAAACTAATTTTTTATAGAAAATTCATGGAATTTTTTTCCCAAAGAAAAGCATTTTTAAGGAGAAAAGGTTATTTGCACTTAAATACCCCAAACTTTTCCTCATTTTAAACTTTGGTGCCCAAAGTTCATTTTTTGTCCAAAAAATACTCCAAAGTTCAACAAAATTTGCTTTGATACCCCATATTTAGTTTTGCCAGATAACCCCATTAATTAAATAAAATATAGCTTTAAATGCCTCAGAGTTCACAAAATTTACCTTTGATATCCAAACTTTAATTTCCAGTTAAAGATTGTGATACTAAAATAAAAAAGTTCATGACTTGGATATCAAAGTAAAAAGTTATTGAATGTTACGGTTCATTTTGGGCAAGAAAAAAAATTACAGGTATCAAAATAATAAATGATTTAAGTTTGGGGTATTTATTGGGCAAGAGAGTAAGAAAAAAAATTACAGGTATCAAAATAATAAATGATTTAAGTTTGGGGTATTTATTGGGCAAGAGAGTGTTAGACCCTAGGGGGGGTAATTAGGGTCTTATGCTAATCTAATCCGATTTTATGCCAATTAAAACTTATTAACAAGTTATCCTAGCAAGTATGAAATACAATAATATATGTGAGCTAGGATAAGCAATATGAACAAGGGATATATCCTAGTAATAAGATATACTATGAGTTATATACAAGGATAAGAAAATAAGGGTGATATAAACATAAACAAGATAAACAAGATAATGGATAATATGAACTAAGAGCAAATGACAAAGGCGATATAAACAATAAGCATGAATGTAAAAGAACGCCAATGACAAACTCAAACACACGATATGATCACGGAGTTCGGACCTTCCGTCCTACGTCTCCGCTACCCAAGCTAACCGAAAACTCTACAACTCACACTCTTGCAATCACACTCTACACCCACTAAGTGTTGGACCTAGCCGTGTCTCCCTCAAGTGCTCGGTTACAACCTCTCCCTAGGCACGTCAACCGACGCCACTCCTCTTGGGACGATCCCCGACTCTCACCACACACTCCTCACTCGGTGTACAAGTGTATTACAAAGTGAATCTCACAATAAGCACAATATAACAAATGATTGTTCTCAACTATGGATGAGAACTCAATTAAGCACAACTCAAAGTTACAATCTCTCACCACCCAACTATACTATGTATGAAAGATACAATAAGCTCAATGTGGGTGTGTGTAACAATGAGTAAAATAAAATCTAACTCAAATAGCAAACTAGCAATAGTAAGAATATGAAAATCAATAACGAAATTGCTAGAGAAAAGAGTTAGAAAATTTCTCTATAAACACAAAGAAGAGGATGAAGAGGATTG